ACCGTACAACTCTAAAAATCTATTTTTTCTGAGGTCGTTCGAGCCCGCCTTGCTAAGAAAATTCCTAAAAAATTGGAGACTCTCGGGCGGTCAGTTCTTTTAGCTCCGCCTTGTAGCACTAATCCTGCGTCAACGAACGACTATCCGCTCTCCTCTCTCAATCACCTTCTGGAGAAGAAATCTCACTTGAATCACCATAAAGTCAAAATCGACATCCAATATTTCTTCGATCAGAACTCTATGAAATTCTACAAGAGAGACACTGAATACCCACCCTCGCATTGGTTATATGTTGGTAATAATGGTGATGTATACTATGCTGAATAAGTACATCAGAGAAATAAGATAAGTAATTGAATCGAAAAACACCAAAGGTTCTCAAAAATTATGGACCGACCTAATATTTGTGAAACACGCTCATGGTGCGCTTAGCGTTTTTCGATTGGTCCATACTTAACCCTTTCCGGACCGCGCACTTTTGCCGTGGCGGGCGCGTGTGGCCGGCGCCTTTTTATGCTCACCGCCGCGTGCTGCGCGGCGAAAATAAATATATATATTTGACCTGTATTTCCATCAACACCATTATTTTGTCTCGTTTTTGTATTTGTCATGTCTAAAAGTATCTATGTGGTGAATTTGACAGAAAACTGTTGCATAAAAAACATGATAGGGCCATAAAAAGGGAGGCAGGAATGAAAATTGTTCAAAATAAGTTGTAATGGGAAAAAAGGGACCAGAAAGTGTCCAAAACGTTTGGATGCAATAGCATCAGATACGACGTGCACGTGATGGCATAAATTCTGTTGTATGAAGTGTTTTCAAATGATTTTATAACTGTTTTCTTCAGCTCAAAGTGGAATCCATTTAGTTTTTGGTTATTTTAGGAACTAGTTTGAGATCGAAGTCTAGGTTTTTTCATACGTACGACATGAGTATGTTACATAGATATGTAACAACATAAAACATTTTGTCGAAAAACCGAATCCTTGGAAAAATCAGCCCTGACACCCCATGGGTGTCAGGCGGCCACAGAGCAAATTGGGCCTGACACCCCATCGGTGTCAGGCGGTCCGGAAAGGGGTAAAATAGCAAAATAGAACGTTTTGCGATAGATGTATGTAACGATAGATGTTTCGCCTCCACCTTTACTCGTTACAGGTTAGTATGGGGAGCAGAAAAAGCTGTGGAGATGAGCAATGTCTATGGAGTACCAAGCATTCTTATGTGGGTCACGGTTTCTAAATCTTGGCAG